CCTCTGGAAAATTAGGGTTTTCCTAAGTTTCCTTATTTAACGGAAATCGACAAGTGTGAATTTCGGTTCCCACATTTACGACGGGGTCGTACAACTCACACTTGAAGATAACGCATTTCAAACCCATACCCGGGAATTGAACTTCATAAATCTCCTGCAAGATCCCGTAGAAATATGTTTCGCCTTTCACACATATTGCATAATTACTTTTCACTCGGTGTCTGCCATAGTCGTAGGTATGAAAAGTATAGCCTCGGGTGAAATACATCGACGATGTAGGGACCTTTGCAACTGGACTTTGAAGTAATTCGCGAAACCATGCGGGATACTTAGGATCGTCATAATCAACCTGCAACAAAAAAATTAAATAATTAGACATTAGACTTACTTTGTGGTAATGTATGCATACAATTTAAGTAATAAATAAATATATGTTTCCTCAACCACTTGATAAAGTGTTGATCTTTCCTTTTGTCTAACTCAGTTGTCGATATACCAAGTATTGCTTCCTCGACTTGAGTCTCAAATTGACTGTAAAATCATATATGTTATTTTATATATTTAATATTGAAAACAAAATATATATATATATATATATAAGTGTGTATGTTTATATATTTACCTTTCAAAATAAGTAATCAATGGATGCTCGCAATTAAGAAGAATATAAAGGTGTGCACTATGGACGTCTTCATCACTCGACCACCAAACCTCTTTCAATTTGCCACCCAATCGCCCAATTTGACAAAAGATGTCTGGAACATTGTCTTCCATATATGTCGGCACGACACCACCATCTTCATATCTTCTTGGAGCTCGTTTCCTTGTATGTACTTTCGGTGCAAAGTAGTACGAAGTGAAATGTGATGTTTCTTCCGTCAAACTTCCCGCAACAATAGAACCTTCAACTCTTGCTAGGTTTTTGGCTTTTCCTTTCAAAGTTTTCATGGCCCTTTTATACTGATACATCCATGCATAATGCACGGGTCCACGAAGTAATGCTTCATACGGGAGGTGGACAACTAGGTGTTCCATGACGTCGAAAAAATTTGGCGGGAATATTTTCTCCAAGTTGCAGATTAAGACGGGGATGTTTTCATGAAGTTGTTGGACAACTTCCACTTTAAGAGTGCGGGTGCTCAGATCCCTAAAAAATGCTCCAATTCCTTATATATATACGAAAAACAAAAATTATCCACATTAGTATATATATATATATATATAGAAATAAATTAATCATGTCATCGTATTATATTAATTAATTACTTGAAAGTGCTTCATGTACTTTTTCCGGCAGTAGCTCCGCAAACGCAAAGGGAAGTAGTCGCTGCATAAAGACATGACAGTCATGGCTCTTCATCCCGGAGAACTTTTGCCCTTTATCAACACATCTTAAGAGATTTGAAACATACCCATCAGGGAACTTCACTTCTGAAGCCACCCAGTTGAACAACGCAGACTTTTTTTCTGATGACAGTCTGAATATTGGAACTGGAACTTGCCCATTGCTTTTTATATGTAGCTCACTCCTTGAGCAGATATCGAGTAAGTTCAACCTTGATTTTACGTTGTCTTTCGTCTTATCTGGGACATTTAATATAGTGTTCATGATGTTCTCAAAAAAGTTCTTCTCTATATGCATCACATCGAGGTTGTGGCACAAAAGAAGATCTTTCCAATATGGCAATTCCCAAAATATACTCTTTTTGTGCCAATTGTGCTGAAAACCATAAGAATCAGGCATATTACTGGGAACATGCCAATTCCCACCACGAGGAGCTGTTTCCAGAGCATAGTAGTAATCGATTTGCGCTTCGATTTGTTCTCCAGTTAAATATGGGAGGAGGAGTGTCTCTGACAACCCTTTTGTGCCTGAACAATTTCTTGTTTCTTCGGTATGGGTGGTGAATGGGAAGAAATCGACGGTGACAATCGAACCAACTAGTCTTCCTACCATGCTTCAACTGAAACGCATCTGTCATTCCATTACAATATGGACAAGCTAACCTCCCATGTGTAGTCCACCCAGACAACATACCATATGCAGGAAAATCATTTATGGTCCACTAAAGCATCGCTCGCATCGTAAAGTTTGTTTTCATTGAACAATCATATGTCCTCACCCCTGTTGACCACAAATCTTTCAACTCTTTTACTAATGGTTGTAGAAAAACGTCGAGAGATCTTTTTGGATGTTTTGGACTATGTATTAATATGCTCATGAATAGAAACTCTCGTCGCATGCACATCTCCGGTGGCAAGTTATACGGTGTAAGAAAGACCGGACACAATGAATATTGTCTCCCAGACATTCCAAATGGACTAAATCCATCAGTGCATAATCCAAGATACACATTCCGGCTATTACTAGCGAAATGTGGATGTACATTGTTAAAATGTTTCCAGGCTCTTGCATCTGATGGATGAGTCATCTCTCCATCCGTCTGAGTATGCTCGGCGTGCCATCTTATCCCTCCAGCAGTCTCCTCAGATTGGTACAATATTTTCAATCTGTCTGTGATTGGTAGGTACCACATCCTTTGGTACGGTACCTATTACGCCCTCGACCTTGCGGTTTGAATCATGGCTTCTTACAAAATCGACATTCTTCTAACTTCTCATCATCTCCCCAGTAAATCATGCAGTTGTCGATGCAAACGTCTATCATCTCCGAGGGCAACCCAAGACTATATACCAATTTCTGAATCTGATAATAAGATTCAGCAGACACATTGTCTTCTGGCAAATACTCTTTAANCGACCTTGCGGTTTGAATCATGGCTTCTTACAAAATCGACATTCTTCTAACTTCTCATCATCTCCCCAGTAAATCATGCAGTTGTCGATGCAAACGTCTATCATCTCCGAGGGCAACCCAAGACTATATACCAATTTCTGAATCTGATAATAAGATTCAGCAGACACATTGTCTTCTGGCAAATACTCTTTAAACAAGTTTTCCCATGCATCCATACAATTTTCAGGTAGATTGTGATCGGTTTTAATACTCATCATTCTAGCAGCCAACGACAATTTAGACAGACCTTCTCTACAACCACTGTAAATTGGCTCATTCGCAGCATCTAACATTTCATAAAACTTTTTGGCATCTAAGTTAGGTTCTTCAAATTCATCATCATCATGAGTTACAAAGGCATCACCTACCATATCATGAATCCTATCACAATCTACCATTTGTTCCTCTTGGTGATGATAGCTATTACTACTGCTACCTTCATTACGCAAATGCTCAACCGGTTCAATCTGAAAATTACTATTACTACTACTACCTTCATTCCTACAACTAGCATCTTCTCCATGTTGATACAAATATAATAATATGGCATGAAACCTCTATTTACTAAATGCTTCCAAACATTTTCACGAGGGCCTAATTTGGTATTGCAACATTTCCGACAAGGACAGAACATCTTACCACTTTCCTGCGTGAGTGGTGTAGAATCTGCTTGATGCATAAACGTCTCCAACCCTTCGAGAAATTCTTTCGTCACCCTCCTGTTATTATTTCTGTGTGAATACATCCACTTCCGCAACTCGAAAATATTTCCCGGACCGCCTTTTTTTTGTGTTTGATCAAGCTTATAGCTGATTTTTTTTTGGTGTGTTTCAAATGAATCACATATGGTGGTATTTATAGAAATTTTCGAATCTGAGAATTTACTAGGAAATTGCTAGGAAAAGTAGGTACAAAACACGTTTTTGATTTAAATTCGATATTTTCTATTCATTTCCTCTTAATTTCGTAGTAACAAATCCATTCCTCCTAATTTCGTAGTAAACAATTACTAGGACTTTACGAGGAAAAGAATTACTATGAGTTTACGAGGAAAATAACTTTTTCCTCGTAAGGGCCACGTAAGTCTACTACGAGTTTACGAGGAAACTGTTTTCTCGTAAGTATACGAGAACTTTACGAGGAAAAATGGTTTCCTCGTAAACTCGTAGTATTTTTACGATGAAATATTTTCCTAGTAAAGGCTTAGTTTTCTTGTAGTGTTATATAATGTAACATTTTGGATTTATATTTCTATTTTGGGTTTAGTGTTTTTAAATTTGAACAATATGTACTATACTATATCATGTATTACTATTCTATTTTGATAATCCTTCATTTTATGTATTATGTGGATGTTTTGTATTTGGGTTAGGGTTTATATTTTCTTTCAGAATTTAGTGATTAGTGTTTTATATTTCTATTTTGGGTTTAGTTTATTTAAGGTTTGGGTTTAGTTTATTTAAGGTTTGGGTTTATATTTCTATTTTGGGTTTAGTTTTTAAAATTTGAACAATATGTACTATGCTATTTCATTTATTACTATTCTATTTTGATAATACTTCATATTTTGTATTTGGGGTAGGGTTTGGGTTTATATTTCCTTTTAGGGTTTAGGGATTAGAGTTTTGAGTTTAGGCTGATATTGGAATAAATCTTACCTTATTTTCTGCAATCATATACATTTACAAATTTTATCTATTTGTACTATACTATTTATTTATTACTATTTTAATAATAATTTATATTATATACTATTTGCATATTTTGATATTTGATTAGAGATTATATTTTCTTTTAGGGTGTACTAATTAGTATTTTAAATTTAGTTTATGAAAGATTTGAATATTCATTAAACTATTTTATAATTTTACTAACATGAACTATACCATTTAGTAGTATGTTCTATTCTATTTATATTATATAATCAATATCATCGTGAAAGCTATAATCACCATAACTTTAACAACACATTTCTTCATTTAAGAGACAAAGTATCACCGTCAAACTACTTAAGAAAATGAGAGAACCAGAAAAAAAAAGAGAAAAAAAACTAGGTGATCTAATTATGTCAACATCAATACCATATTCTTAATTTTACTCACAAAATTGGCTATTACACAAATTAGTCCGGAACAGACCGGTCCTGCGCTGGCACGTTCACCGGTTTATTTAACAGAACAAAAGCTCTCTCTCTCTTCCAGTCTCCACTGAACACTAATACTCTCACCGACCGGATCAAACTGAAAAACCGCTGCTTGATTAATGGCACTCTCTTCATCGTCTTCTCAGAAGACATGGATCGTACACGGTATCTTAGCCGGAACAGCGATCGCAGCAGCAGCGATTGGAGCACGTGCGTATCTGGGTGGATCCAGGAAATTCCGGAGCCGGGTCGTGGGAATCATACCCGCCCGTTACGCTTCCTCTCGATTCGAGGGTAAACCTCTCGTTCAAATCCTCGGAAAACCCATGATCCAGAGAACTTGGGAGAGGTCCAAGTTAGCTTCTTCGCTTGATCACGTTGGTAATTGTGCCTCACTTCTCCAACTCTTTATGCCTCTCTCTCTACATTATAAAAAAGTTGTGGACTTTATGGATCTTAGATCTCTTCTACGGCGCTAAACTGCTTGAGTTTCATTAATTAGAAGATGTCTGGTTTCTTGTTTTTTCATAGTTAGCTTCTACGCTTCATTCCTTGTCATACTTTCTGTCGGAACTTGGAAGCACTTTTTTATTTTTATTTTTTTATTTTTTTTTTCTAAAGCAATTTTTAGTTGAGTTGTGAGTGTTGTGGTTATCAAGGTGTGTCTGTTTTGTTGTATGTTTGACTCATCAGTTGTAGCAACGGATGATGAAAGGATTGCGGATTGCTGTCGTGGGTTTGGTGCTGATGTCATCATGACTTCAGAGTCTTGCAGAAACGGTCTGTATACCAATTTCTTCTACCCTCTGGTTTGGTTTTGGCGTAAGCTCTGAATCATTCTGTGAATCCGTAGGTACTGAGCGGTGCAATGAAGCACTAGAAAAATTGGAGAAGAAGTATGATGTGGTTGTTAACATTCAAGGAGATGAACCACTCATTGAGCCTGAGATTATAGACGGTGTTGTCAAAGCACTTCAGGTCTGCTTTAATAATTAGGATATATATATACTGTTAGGCCGTCTTCAAACTTTACAAGCTGTTGAATAGTGTTCCTATGGTTGTGGTTTTTTAGCTAGCACCTGATGCAGTGTTTAGCACAGCCGTGACTTCATTGAAACCAGAAGACGGACTTGACCCTAACCGAGTCAAATGTGTGGTGGACAACCGTGGCTACGCTATTTATTTCTCCAGGGGTTTGATTCCTTATAACAAGTAATATTCTTTTGTCTTGTTAAGTACTTGCCTATATGCTCAACTTGTAATCACTTATGTTTTGTGCGCTTTAGGAGTGGTAAAGTCAATCCAAACTTCCCTTACATGCTACATCTGGGAATACAGGTACTGAGCAGCTAGCTTCTCTTCTTATTACATATAGTTTCACTTGTGTATTATGATCTTATTAATCTCGGCTACGTTTTCATTCCTTGTTCTTAGAGCTTTGATTCAAAGTTTCTCAAAGTATATTCGGAGCTTCAACCAACGCCACTGCAGCTAGAAGAGGATCTAGAGCAGCTCAAAGTCCTTGAAAATGGCTACAAAATGAAGGTAACAGAACCCTTTCCTACTATCTTGATAAATTGTTTAACTTAATTTGCTGATTGTCACAGGTTATAAAGGTGGATCATGAAGCTCATGGAGTTGATACACCTGATGATGTCGAAAAGATTGAATCTTTAATGCGCGAAAGAAACCTCATCTAGTCCCACATGATACAGAGATCTTATGCATAATGTCTCCACTATGTACATTGGGCTAATTCTCCTTAAATATTATCTGTTACTTGTTTGTAAACATTACGCAAGTATGGCCACTAAGTTTAAAAGCGCAATTAGAAACGAACAACACAAAGATTGAGTTTCAAAATTATACGTAACTAGAAACACTGTAGAATCACAACCATACCTAAGCAGCAACTATTATGACAAATATTATGATAAGTTTCTTGGGTTTCGAACATAAAATCAATTGGCAATTAGTGAATTAAAATCAATTGGCAATTAGTGAATTGATCTATGTCCCTTATATATTATTCAAGTCCCTTACATATTTCCAATGTGGGATCTTTATCCCAATACTCTCCCTCGAGATAATGTTGTGTATAACCATTAATCTCGCATAATCCATCATACCCCTCCGAGATAATGCTCTTTTTCTAGCTATCTCAAAGAAATTGGGTTTTCCGCCATCAATTCGTGGGATGATCGGGCCACTGTTCGAGCCGGATTAATGGGTTAGGGTATGGGCCGGCTCTGATACCATGATAAGTTTCTTGGGTTTCCAACTTAAAACCAATTGGCAATTAGTGGATTGACCCATGTCTCTTATATATTACTCAAATCCCTTACATATTTCCAATGTGGAATCTTTATCCCAATATATTAACTCGCGGTTAGAAGCTGTTTATCCATATTGTATTGTTTTCATCAAGTTTCTGTGGTGCAAGCGTTTCTCTAACTCACCTTTATATATTTTTCTCAAAAATAGAATAACTTTGAAAACATAGGTAAGTTTTACTTCACTATATTTTTCTCAAAAATATATGAAAAATATATAGCATATGAAAACTGTTTACCATACTAGTATTTCACTGATATAGATGAATACTTTAGAGTGAAATTCAACTCTATTTTTGTAGAAATATATCTATCTATCTATTATAATAAAATAGAGTTGTGTTTTTCTATGGAGGCAAAATAATACAAGTTTCCTATCTTTTTTTGGGCTATTTTGTATGTTGGGTATTGTATGTAAAATTTACATATGATTGTTTTTATATATATTTGAAATTTTAGAATTTTGGAATTTTTATATAATTATCAATACGTAAAATCAGAAACAACTGTAATTAGAACTATAGATCAAAGCAATTTAATGGACCCGGTTTCATATATCTTTTCACTTTTTAGTGTTCGAGTGATGAAAAATAAACGGAGTGTCACTGGACTTGATTGGTAGAGTATTAACAAGTTCCCTAATGCTTTCTTAATAAGCACTTGGTAAAATATTTGCATTTGAAATATATAAAGTTTCAAAACTAATTTAATATAATTTATTTATTTCTCTAAAAATATTATAAAATTATATTATTTTACAAATTATTTTTTTTTAAATTAATTTTATAACAAATTAAGTTAGATTTTAAATTATTTTTAAAAACAATATTTTAAGTTTTTCAAATACAAATAAACAATTTAAAATTAATTATGGTAAGGATTTAACATAACCATAATGATTTAAAAAAAATTTAAATTTAAAAATTACAAATTAAAAATTAACTCAATTTTATATCATGATTTAACAATTTAAAAATTAATTATGGTTAAGAGAAGTTTACATTCACGTGTCAATCCTATTTATCTTCAATTTTTTTTCTCTTGTTGTGTATTTTTTATTTTGGTTATTACTCAATGTAAATATTTATTTTGAAGTTTATTCTCATTTTGTTTGTTTGTTTTGACATGAGATTTAGAAAATACTTAAGATTTAAAATAATTAAAGAGATACATACTTAGGTTAAGATCTGCACTTTATGCATAATAAATATTTTATATTTTATTTTATTTTTTTCTGCATATTATAAAATAATAAATATATATATTAAATAACTAAGAAATCAGTTACTAATATGTAATAAATTTGTGTATGCATATAAATTGAACTATCACTCTTGTTTATTCGCAATTAGGATAAATAAATCAAATTAATCAATCTTATATATATTGTATATGATATACATAATTAAATTAAAATGATATAAACATAGTAATATAGCATACTTTTAATATGGATATTTATTAAATGAGATTTCTATTCATATGATTTTATGATTATCTGCATATTTGTGTAACAAAACTTTACACCAACGAATCTTTTTTACTGTGACATCTAACGGAAATCCTAGGAAGATAGCTACAAGGTTTCTTGATCCTTTTCTTGCTCACTTGCCCGAACATATTCTCTATATGGTATCATAGCCCACGATCCATGAAGTCCAACCCGATCCGGCCCAAAGTTGGCCCATCGATCCGGTCCAAAGTTGACCATCGATCCTTGCCCGAACATTCCGAGATTGATGCCAAAGAGCCATCATCTCGAGGGGGCGTATTAGGGACAAAATCCCACATCGGAAGTTGGAAGGGATTCTATCTAATATATAAGATAGATGGGCCAATCCACTTATCACCAATTGGTTTTAGGTTGGAAGCCCATCTAACTTAATAAAGACATCACAAGATCAAGTTGCTAAAGGTGGCTGCTCAATTGTTATCATGCCTGAGGATAGTGACATTGCGACGTGGCTCACTATTGAAAGGTTTTATTATACCAATATAAGATTGGTTTAAAATGATACTTTTTGGATACTCTTCCTAAAACTGAGACTCTTTTTCTTCTTTGTTATTTTTAGGTTTCGATTTGTGAGCAATCCGGATGTCCTAAAATAGTTTACACTTTACAAACTGAAATAATGCATATCAAGGAAAAAATTGGTATCTAGAACCATTATGTAGCGGCTGTAAGTAAGCTTGATTTTTGTATGTACATTGTTTGGTGAATTGACAGTTTTAACGTTCTATTGTATCAGTCGGTGGATGATGATCAACGACCAAAAAGCTCAAGGAGTACATAAGTTTTTTTTTTCTTTTGTGCCAAAACTTTTAGATGTCAGTCACTAAGTCACTAAGATCAAGTTTGCTCAATAAAAGGGAAAATCAAGTTGCAAGTGTTGTAAATACATTTCTGGTGGTATATTTAAGGTATTTATTCATCTTGACCACGATTAAGTCTTCTCTATTTTGTTCTCCTTCATTTCTCAGTGCATTGCTATGTCTTCCAGTTCCGAGAAGTTCTTATCCCTTTTTTTTTTCAGTCTTTGATCTTTGCCTGAATCTACTAACTAGAAGTTGTATGTGAAACTGTGCTTCTTTCTTTGTTTATAGTCTATTCACTGCATGTTTGTGTGTGAAGATAAGATCTATATATCATTCTTTTATATTGAGAAACATGAAACTGCAAATTCCAGGTGGTCTAGAGCTTGACAAGAGCAGTAGGGTTGGTAAAGGTTTGTCAAGGAATGGAAAGACACAAAAGCTTGCTTTACAACACTCGCTTGAGGCAGTAAGGTATAGAGAGACTAATCTCAGCTTCAGTTTCCTTTTAATTTGACTTTTTGGATTGAGCTTAATCTGATCTTGGATTATGCTCTTTGTTGCAACATATTGACCCTAGACAGCGGTATGAACACAACCTGCATTTTCGCTACAAGTTGCTCCACTGTCAGAGTAGAGACCCTTACTCTACTGGTAATTACTTCTCATTGTCCTTTTTCCTATTTATGTATGAATGTTTGAGCCGAATGAAAAATAAACTTAGATGTATGTTTGATTGAAATGTTACAGGTTTGATATTAGGAAGGGGAAAGAAGTAATAATGTTGATAACTTAGAAACTTATTTACCTTTTGTTTATGCTGTGTGTATATGGAAATGAATGCTTATGAGGTTGTTGTGGAAGACGACAAATTCTTCTACAAGAATAGTCGAAAATGCTTCAAACTTCTACTACGGACAATAATGATTCCAAAGAATTAATACTCTTGATAGTAATTAAGTTTACCATTATATATGTAACTATAAATGTATAATAATAATAATAATAATATTATCATCACCTATGTTTCTTACAAAAAAATTAAATTTATAAGATATTAGTATAAAATTAGTATATATTTATCAAGTAAAGCAAAAGAAATATTATCATTATTTCAATTCGTTTTTTTTTTTTGCATCAAACCACTGATCTATTACTCAAACAACTTGAGGCGGTATGGGTAACCAGACCGGAATAGAACAACCAACGTACATAAGCTTACGATAAAAGGATCTAGCTATTTTAGCTAGAGAATCAGAAGCACCATTCTGTAATCTAGGGACATAAAAGATCTTGAAGTCAGGGAAGCAAATCTTCAGTGTCAATAATTTTTCCAGTTCCGTTGAAAAGTTAGGCCATGCATGAAGATTTCTGAGCATCTCAATCAACTCCTTGCAATCAGTTCCAAAGCTCTGACATGGCGAATGCTGAAGCATGTTCTCCATTGCCCACCGCAGTGCTTCCAACTCTTAATGCAATGCCGATTCCACTCGATCATAATTACGCAGCCCCATTAACTGACTATTTCCAGAATTATCATTCCATACCCATCCACATCCACTAAAAATTTCCGTAGAAGTCCATGATCCATCCACCATGCAAATGTTCCCAAAACTTAAGGCTTGGTCTTCAACAGGTCCGTTCCCAATTGGGATCGGATTAACCTGCTCATTTGCTTGGAACCATGCTTGGCACTCACTTTATGCATAACGCGCTACCTCCAATGGGTCCCTATCAAGGCCTCTAAATAGTTTATCATTCCGGACCTTCCAGATATACCAGATTAGCCAAGGATAAGGATCCCTGTCTAATTCTTGTTCCATTATTTCATTCTTCCTCCTGAAGAGATAGTCCATATTCGCGTACGTGCTTTGTACTGGAAATCTAGCGGGATGGGTAGGCGTAGATGGTAGCGCCCAAACTTGTGAAGCAGGTGGGCATTCAAATATTGCATGTACGATCGTCTCCTCTGGTTCCCCACAACGAGGGCAATGGTTGTCACATCTCATATGTCTGTAGTTTAAGATGCTCGTAACAGCTACATGCCCTGTTATTACCTGCCACATAAGATGGCAAGTCTTCTGGGGAGCCCTGACCTTCCAAGCATGTGCTTGAAGTTTTGTAATACTAGGCTCACGTACTTCAGAGTCTTCTTCCATCCTCAAGATATTTCGTGCCACCCAGTATCCAGATTTCACTGTATACTGTCCAATCCTCGTATAACTCCAGCATAACGTGTCCCGACGATGCGTGGAGCTAATGGCCAAACTCTTGATAAGTGGTATATCAGCTGCATCAATATAATCATGAATTCGACTATCATCCCAAGCCTTCGTAGTTTGATTAATCAAATCACTCACTCGCATATTCGGGTGCATAACCGGTGCCAATGGGGTTGCTGGTCTCGCAGGTATAGTAGGGATCCAAGGATCATCCCAAGCTTTAATTTCATATCCCGAGTGAACTTTTTTTCTAATTCCTAGTAATAGCATTCTCTACCAGCCGATATACTCGTCCACACATATGATGGGCTACTAGTATTGATTTTACGCAAAGGCGTGCTCAATCTGTAATATCGGCCTCTCAATACTTGAGCTACCAGAGAGTCCAGATTCTGTACCAGTCTCCATAATTGCTTTGCTAGTAGTGCAAGGTTGAACTCATGTATCATTCTAAAGCCAATTCCGCCTTCTTCTCTAGGTAAGCAAAGTTTGTCCCATGTTAACCAGTGCATACCTCTTTTTGGCGGATTTGAACTCCACCAGAACTGCGCAATGGCACTAGCTAAATTCTCACAAATCTCCAATGGGAGAAGAAAGCAAGACATAACATACGTCGGAAGAGCAAGCAGGATTGATTTTATCACGAATTCTTTTCCACCTTTAGAAAGCCATCTGCCAGTCTATCCATTTACTCTACCTCTCAGCTTGTCCTTAAGGAAGGAAAAGAGCTTACATTTGGACCCACTGATATCCTCTGGTATACCTAAATATGATCCCATGGCTCCTTCATTTTGGATCCCAAGTGTGTTTTGATCTCTTGTCTCACTTCCTGGCCGATTCTTTTACCAAAGAGTAAAGAAGACTTATCAAAATTAATGCATTGTCCAGAAGCTTGTCCATATACCTTGACCACTTTCATTAGTTCTTCACATTCACGGGACTCCGCCTTACAGAAAAACAGACTATCATCAGCAAAGAGAAGATGAGATACTGAGGGACATACACGCGTGATGCGCATCCCCGTTATCTTTCCTTGGTTCTCTGCATGATTTAGAAGGCTAACGAGCGCTTCCGTGCACAAAATAAATATGAAAGGGGACAGAGGATCCCCCTGTCTTCGACCTCTCTCCGGAATGACATTTCCTCTTGGCTGTACATTCATGAGGACTTTGTACTTTACTGACGTTACGCATCTCATTATCATAGATATCCAGAATTCAGAAAATCTCATCTTCCGCGTGGTGGACCTCAATGAAGGACCATTCCATCCTATCATATGCCTTGCTCATATCCGTTTTGATAGTCATCCTCTTGTTACGTCCACTCGGGTTTTGTTCTTAAAGCATGGAACAACTCCTGAGCTATCATAATATTGTCTGATATCTGTCTCCCAACAACAAAGGCTGACTAGGTCTCTGAGATCCTGTCAAGGTAGAAACTTTTTTAATCTCTGGCATAAGACCTTAGAGATAATCTTATAGCTAACATTGCATAAGCTAATAGGGCGTAGCTGGCTCATCTGATTCGGCTTATCCACTTTTGGAATGAGACAAATATTGGTATCATTTAGTCCAGATGGTACCGCTCCCTCAAAAAAGAATTGATTAACCATACGAGTTAAGTCATCCTTTACAATATCCCAAAAGTTTTGGTAGAATAGCGCTGTCATTCCATCTGGGCCTGGAGCTTTCTCTGGGTGCATCGCGAAAAGAGCCAATTTAACCTCCCAATCATTGACCAGAGCTGTTAAAGACTCATTATCTGATGAGGTAATTGTGGTTGATACTTCAGAGAGTGCCTGTTCTATTGTCTCCGGATTTGATGATTGGAAAATGTGTCTAAAATAATTTGTAGCAATGGCTACCAATCCTTCCTCATCCTCCACAACATTTCCATCATCGTCAATAATTGAGTAATCCTATTCCTTGCTCTCCGTTGCTTCGTAAGGGCGTGGAAAAATTTAGTATTCCTATCCCCTTCTTTCAGGCAAAAGACCTTACACTTCTTCTTCCAGAACAATTCCTCTGCCTTAAGAGCGTCGGATAATTCCTTAATTGCTGCTGAAATCTCCTCAGTAGTCGCATCGTCAGTTGAAGATAAACGATCTACCTTTTCCTTAAGCTCCTCCACAGTTTTCTCTGAATTCAGATTATGCTGCTTCTTCCACTCACTCAATGCTCGCCGGCAGCTAACAATATGCTCCATTATACTTGTGTCCGGTGGGAGATCTGGTGACTTCCATCCCTCAAGTATAATTTTCATGAGCTCATCGTTATCCAACCATCTCTTATCAAATTTCAAATTTCTTGCTCTTCTAGGTTTCTTTCTCAGGATATCCGCTAGTATCGGACGATGATCCGATTCCCAGAGTCTCATATACTTCACTTTGGAATGAGGGAATTTCTCATGCCAGTCCTCATTCCCCACAGTCCTATCAAGGTGGCATCTAACTGTCGTTCTCCCTGCTCTATTGTCAACCCAAGATAGCATGTTTCCTGTGAAAGGAAACTCCAGCATACCACAATCACTTAACATTTGTCTAAAGGGCAGAAAAGAACTATCAGAGCGTTGTCTGCCTCCTTCCTTCTTTGCGTGACATGTAATTTCATTAAAATCACCTAGCATGAACCAAGGTCCATTTCTTGTTGTTGAGAACCGCGTAAGACGTTGCCAGACTAATTCTCTTCTTTCAAGTACATGATCCGCATAAAAAAATGTCATGTAGACTTTTGTTCCATCAATGACTGCCTCAATGTCAATCATTATGTTATTTGAAAAAAGTACATTAACTTGAAATTCATCCATAAAAAATAAAGTTAAACCTCCGCTGAGACCAAGTGGCTCAACGGTAAACAAACGATCAAATCCTAAGTCGGCCTGAATGTCTTGCTACAGCAGCCTCCTATTCTTAGTTTCAGAAAGGAACACAAATCCTGGGTGATGCTTCTGACACATCTCTGTGAGGCATCGAACTGTGAGGTTGCTCCCAATCCCTCGACAGTTCCAACTGATTTTCCTCATGGATTGAGGGGGGATCAGTTTTTGGATCCCATCGAACCATCACCATTGTTTGATCTCCCTTGAATCCTTCTAGTACTGTGTCGCACGTGCCCAGTCTTATCCTTATGTCGAGATGCCTTCTGCGCCGAGGTTTTAGCTACTCTCAACCTGGGGGATCCTCGATGGAGGAATCCCGGCTTCGTCCCTGGATTACTTGATGAAGTAATCAAACGACCTGATTGTTTCTTGCTATCCGTTTTGTTCCTCAAGCCATCTATTCCTCCAATACTCTTCTCTACACTCACCTCCATAAACTCCTCACCCAAAAGATCATCATCAGCATCATCATAATCCTCATGAGTCATTTTCGTTGCATCATTTGTTTCATTTTTATCCATATCATCTAGAGCACCAATGACTTGCTCCCCTTCATCTACTGAGTCGACATTCGCAAAAGACAATGATCTAGTTGCACTTCTACTACGTATTGTGACGTTATCTTCCATATTTGCTGTCCGTAGAGGTGGAGAGACAATGACACTAGCCATCTTTCTACTTTGGTGTCCTGATCCAATCATATCATCTCTGCCTCCAAAAAGAGCCTCATCAACACCGTGTAGCTCGGTGGTAGTCTCAGGCGGTATTTCAGAAAGAACCACACCTCTACCTTTACCGGGGATCTCACTTGGTTTCTCAGCCTTTCTCTCCATGGTCCTTGCCTTATTCACTGGTTTCTCTCGCCATGATTTGTTTGACTTTCGGTCATATGGACCAAAAGCTTGCCGGGAATCATAATGACGCTCATCATGGTACTTCACACTTCGTCCCCTTATGACCCGATCTGATGTTCTGTTGTAACCACGTCCACCCACACGCAAGTGAACAGAACGCGTGTCATTATTCATGCCAGCATACACAGTGCGATCGCTCGAAATGGTGGCAGATCTAGGTGATAAATGCGCAGCTGCTATAGGACCACGTCCAGCGCGCTCATGACGATGAGCGTACTCTTTATCTCTACTCAGCAAGTACTGATTTCTTGACGAAGATTGTGCTGCATAATGGCCAGTGCGGTCCTTGTGCTAGTCGTATTCTTTACCTCCATTCAGCAAAGGCTGATCTTGAGCCGAAGGAAGTTGAACCCGCGCGAAGACGCCACTCCTTTCCCGATCAGATCTCGGTGCTGTAGTGTTGGTCGGGCAGTAACCTTTTTCATGTGACATTATACCACATATGGTGCAGTGTTTAAAGAGCATGTCATACTCAATAGTAATGATTACTTCCTCATCATCAGGACTAAGGACCTTCCTCTTAAACTTAAGAGGTTTCCTAGAATCAACATGAATAAGCATTCTACCCTCCGTGAGCTCAATCGTATCCACATGTCCAAGTCGATCTCCGATATCTCTGAGATTACGGTCAGTCCATAGGTGAAGGGGCATCCCAACAAGCCGGACTAAGAAAGGTATAATCCAGGGTTAATCATCGTGAACTACTGGTTCCCAGCGAACCAATACAAACATGCAAAAATTATAGTGGAAAAGGGCCCTTTGAAAGAAAAAAGTTGAGATCCTTTTCATTGGTAAAGTTCAAAAGAAACTTGCCATTCCCGAGATCGTTTGCCGTTATCTTCTCCTCCATTCTCCATTGAGCCGGCATTGTCTGGATTAACTTCTCAACGGTTTGCTTTTTATGATTCAGGATCTTTCCAATGAGAGACATCCGGTACTCTTTTATCACAAAAGCATTGTCTTGTTCAGTCAATCTGATAGGTTCATCATCATCGTCAATCGCAAGACCCTTTCCTTTACGATCTGTCCTGTGAACAGAGTTCGTGCGGTTCAAAAACTCCATGAGTACAAACCAATGAGTTACCGACGAGTCCGACAATGATCGGAATGTCGATATCTATGCCGTAGGATCGTAATACTGAGGACAAAAATTGCAGGGTAATGCGAAGGTTGATGTCTCGTACTATCAAATGAATTAGACAAGGATCTGAAACTAAGTGTTACGTAAATTCGTTTTTCTTTTAAGTTATCGTATATTTTCGTTTTAAATTTATCTTTAAATATATGTAAAATATAATTAAAAATTACTTTATTTTAAAAATTGATATATTAAGTGATACTCAACCACCGAAAATCTATATTATATTGATAGAATTTCTAAGCTCCACAGCGCGCCACATCAGCAGTTTTGTGGGTAAGATGATTATGAACAACGAAATACACTTTAGCCTAGTGGTATAAGGTGTCTAATTAAGCATGCATGTGCGTGGATTCAAACCAGGCAGTTATCATATTTTTTTTTTATTTTTTTATTTGGGTTATTTTTATATGAACTTTTTGTTTATAATGTTTTTATGTTTTTTTCTTTTGGGTTTATTGTTTTAAAGATCAAAATAGTTGGATAAACCTTAAAGTTTAACAAGTTCAAACCCAAAAATAATTAAAAATAGATCCAAAAATGAACAACCCAAAAAAAAGTTAGACCCACGCGGGTTGTCTATGCGAATGGTTTAAGGAGCCTTAAAACTGTGCTATTACAATATAGCTCGACCCAAAAATAATAAAATTGGATCCAAAAATGAACAAACCAAAAAAAAAAAAGAGTCCCACGCATATGTCTACGTGGATGGCTTAAGGAGGCTTGAATAATATAGATTAGGAACTCAAAAAATTAAATCATTGCACATATTTCCTAATATATATTTTCAAAAAATTTGTATGTGAAATTAAATTAAAAAAAAAACAAATTTAAGTATTTTCGTTATTTATTGAATGGATATGTAATTTCTCTTACATTTTAATAGCTACTATAATTTCATTAAAAACATTCCTCTCCATCAACTCCAGACTCCGGCGAATAGATTCCCACAGTCGATGATGCCGTAGATAAAAATGCCACATCATTTATGAACAAAAACCAAACTTACAAAAAATCATATATAAAAACTTATCTAACGAAACCTATGAATATTACCTTAATTAAGGTTATTTTCAAATTGATAAATCATTTAATACAAATGTAAATACTATAAATATATAATTATATCAAGTTTTGACCTACGATATAAACCTATTTACAGGAGAAAAAAAAACAAAAGAAAATAGACACCTACTTTTACACACTAAAAACTATATTATACCCTAACTATTCCTATAAACCTTACTTCACATATAAATAACATTTAACACTTTAAATATACAATATTTCACTTTACACTCTTGATACATTCTTTTTATTTCATTATTATTTGGTGTCATTAGAAGAACCCAGAAGAACCCATTAAACAATCGAAAAAAATACACACAAACACAATGATCCCGACTTCGCGCTTGCGCGGCGAATATGCAACTAGTATGTCAAATGACTCAACCATCTTTGTCAATTTTCAGAAGAAAACTATGACAATGATACATATTTTTATGGTATGTTAATATTGTGTAGAAACAATTTTAAAAAGGGAAAAGAAAAGCTGGATAAACTATCATGGGAAAATAGTTGATTCATGTCTAATCAATAATAGACCATGGTTAAAAATTCACTTACTGGATTTAGAATCATTTTGAAGACAAAATATGTAACCCATACATCTACAGTGAAGCCCCTAACAGATTGCCACATCAACATTGACAAACCATGTGAAGATTGTTATTAGGCCTGAGCATTTTAGGTACTGGTTCGGTTCGATTTGGATATTTCGGGTTTTGGGTAATTCGAATAGGGGGCTAGAGGATCCATTGACTACTACACCTATTTTCGGTTTGGTTCAATTCGGTTTTGGATAGTAAAACTAGGAACCATCAAATACCTGAAAACTTTGGTTCTCATTTGGTTCCGGTTCGGGTTCGGGTAATTTGGGTAAATTATCGATTATTTAGGATAAAATATCAAATAATTAGAACGATGTAAATACAAATTTTAGATATTTCGGATTACTTTGGATATTTTGGATAAAATTATTCGTATACTTTCGGATAGTTCAGATACTATAATTATTTAGTTATCTTCAACTATTTTTCGATGCTTTTAATACCTTTTAAAATTAAAATCATATATTTAGCTATGTTATATGTATATAAAATTAATATTATTGTATTCGAGTACCCATTCGATTATCAATTCGGTTCAGTTATTTCGGATATATAAATATAAAAATCGTTCGGATATTTGAGGATTTTGGTTCGGTTCCGGTTTCAGATACTCGGTTCTTTGGTTCCGATTTTTTTTGCTCAGGCCTAATTGTTATTACTTTAAGAGGATGAATAAATTTAATATCTTCCTTCAAAGAAGATAATCACAAAACAAACACATGCATTTACATTTTTTTCCTTTTGGAACACCAACTTTACTTTTCATTTTAAGTTTAACTATATTTACTTTGGTGAAACTATTAGCTATTTATTCTATTTATTAAATCGATTGGTGAAAACTACTTACCATACTGTCACTAACAACTATTAAATGGATAAAAAACAATTTTGAATTTATTAGAAAATAAAACATATGAATCCGGTGTCGGAATACCACTAGTAACTATAAAGGTATCTTAGAAATGATCTAACAGTTTTGATATTTAAACATCCTAAATTAAGCATGTAATATATAATATTCCAAAACTTTTATTGCATAAGTTCTAAAATCAGATGGTTTCAGTATTTGAGGCTTTTCTCTTTTTTTTTTTATCTGTCTAATGTTGTTTCACCGTAGTGATAAAAAGGAACGATTGTATTATCTGTGATAGCACCTATTTGCAATATGCCATATTTGTTTTTAAGTATGCAAATTTTTTTAAAATATATATATAACTTTCACTGGAGGCATAACTAATTAGTTTATATTTAGTTTATTAACTAATTTATAATTACTTGAATTATTTGAAAACTATACATAATTCATAACAACACAATTTATTGAGGAATAAAACTCATTGTAAGAAGTATTAACTCAATAGGAAGTTGAGTACAATCATGGTAAAAAATTATTAAAAATGATCAAAGGATGGTAAAATATAACATAGTACTATATTAATAAATATATGACACTATATCATGCAACAATCAAAAAGTAAGAAATTGGAAAGTAATTTTCTGTGATGGAAAATAAATATATAAAGAAAATAACTAATAATCAAGAGAAAAATTTACATCAAATTTAATTATCACAGCAAAGAAAAAAGTAAATTGTTATTACTCCCACTCTATAATACTAACCTAACATAAAAAAAAGTTTAACTCAACAGAAAAACTATTAACTCACTTTTGACAAAGAAAAAAAAATCAACAAAATTTTGAGGAAAAAATTAGTAAAAACTTGGAAAAAATATAATATAGTAAAGAAAATAATATAAATTAATGCATATATGCACTTATATCATGCACATCAGAAAGAAGAAAATGGGATAACAAACACTTGATTCAACCCCCTATATATAACATTTTATATAACTCACTATATAAAACATACAGTATATAATTCACTATGTAAAACATACCATGCTAACTATGTCGAGTCTCATAAAAGCGTAGGTAAACCAAAATCCACCATTAAGGAATGTCGCTATCCGATGTTAAGGAATGTAGCTAATGAGATAAGATGAGCATGTTTTAATGCTTTTGATTAATAACCTAAATCTGTTTTAATCATAACAAAATTAAAGTTTGCTAAAAATAATAATAAAATGCTGAGACAGTTAATGAACAGT